GCTGGTCAGTTGAAGCTGGTCAGTTGAAGTCCTGTATTTCCTTCATTAAATAACAGCAGCCTTATGGGAAGGTGAACTTTATTCCAGAGTACTGTTTCTGCACTTGGTATTTGTGTTTTGGGGGCGGGGGAGGACTAAAAACCATGCAGTGCCAATAGCAAATCTGCTACTTGTTCCCCTAGGGGTACTATGTAGCTTGCCAACACCACACACTGCTTTCATACTCACAACTAATGTGTTAAAGTATGCTTCATTAAGAGAAAGTGTGCATGCTAGATCACTCGTGGTGTGTGAAATTTATTTTGTACAAAAGTGAGAACTATGCACCATGAAAAAGAACAGGACACAGAACAGTGAAGTATCTAATAAAATGCCTATGTGCTAGCAACGGAACTAAAAACTTAATATAAAAGTGTATTTAAGTAGGCCTGGATTGCAAGATGGGGAAGTTGTAGAGGGCAAGATGTGTACAACTGAGGTCCAAAAGGAAATTATAGTAACAATGAAAAGCATTCCTGGTATAATGAATGGCTTGAAAAGAGATAGACTTTAAGAGAACTGGGAAACCCAGAATTTAGGATTGGTTGTAAGTCTAAGAAAGCTAAAGCTTTTCAAGTATTACTTGGAGGAGACAGAACGTACAAAATGCAGCAAAGAAGATCCTGTGTTATTTCATGGCAATGATGGGAAGTCCTTGATAAACCATTGCCTGTGAGGTGCAACTATCAATCTTTAACTCATCTCCTTTCCAAGAGGGAGAGTGTGCCTGCGTGCATGCATAATTGAAAGCAAAGTACTGTACCAATATTTGGCAATCCACTGAAAATTTCAAAAGGGAAAATTTGAAGGGTATATATCTACAAAACCTCTCAATGGGGTGGATCAATTTGAAAAGATCTGGCTGCATCCAGTGCACATCCCTAGGTCTGGGCACTGAATTTTAGAGTGAATATCTCAAATTATAACAGCATAATATTGGTAACACTAGTTCTCTCTACAGAAGCAGTACAATGATGCTAAGTGCCAAATAATTCAAAGCCATAGTCAAAACTGACTCTAAATTATGGGCTTTAAAAGATAGAGCTGTATTAATAAAACAAAAACAAAAATTCAATTAATTTGAATTAAATTGATTAATTTGGATTCCCCCATCCAAAGGCTCAAGCTTAAATCTGGTCAATAAGAACAGGTTGTCCTTGTCTTTTTGAAACATTAGATGTCTATAACTACCTTGCAGTAAATAACTTGCTGGGTTTCTTCAATAGGCAATGCTTTGATCCATTTCTGAAGTGACATTTAAGATGGGAAAAAAGCGGTAAAATATTGTAACTTACTGAGAGCTTTCTTCCTAGACCTTTCTGAAGGGAAAAGATCTTTTCAGTGACTGCACCCAAATAAAGTCAAACCTCTATCCAGCCTAGGTTCCTTGGCAACAGCATAGAAGTAGTTTGCTATTGTCTTTTCCAATAGGTTTTTCACCTTTTGAATCTAGCCATGGGTTGCCTTGAGAAATCTCCATTTACATACTAACATGCGCTAGGCCAGTTTAGCCTTCAAGCCCAGGTGTGGTCACTCAGATTCTCTCACCTGCTGTGCTGCATGAATCCTCGTATGCAGGCAGAGATTTAAGAAGCAATTTAGGTATTACCTGCCTTTACAAATACTTATTAGATTTGCTGTTCAGCAGTTTGCATTATCTGAGTTTCTCATCAATAGGTAGAGAATAACTTAATTTTGATAGGGTGTAAGAAATTTTCAGCAATCAGAATGTTCCCAAATGATAGTTAGAAACAGACATTAACATTGTGTGAATGTGTGCGTGCATGTACATACACGTGTGTGTGAACCTAACAAGGTAGACCAACACCATACAAGCCAGGACTAATTCTATTGTAACAGTTATAGTAACAGAATCTTGCAAGTCTGAATGTGCTTCCCTCCCTCACTTTATATTTGTGCGAACTTGGAAGTGGCTTGTCTGAGATATTTTCTCACATTATTTTCTTGCCCCGGACTCAAGCCCCTTTTATCTGGCTGTTGCCTTGGTAGCGGTTCTTCCCCCTCTCCTCCGAGGCCATTCCTTGTTCCCTCTACAATATATAATATGTCTACCTGTATATCTGGTAAGATATTAATAGTAGCAAGAGATGAAAACTACTTTGTATGATTGCCGTAACTATCATTATTTCTAAACACATGATGCTGTTTCTTGGTAACCATACTGCTAATAATAGGTAAGATTCAGGGTAACTTCCCTTGCTTAGTAATAAGCTATAGTTTTATTTAAAATCTGCCAGGAAACTGAGAAGGATGATGTGATAACAAATGAAACCAAGAATTTCATTTTGCAAGACAATTGCTTTCTGTATTGTTCTGATATGTTCATAGGTCTTTGAAGCAGAAGGTTCAGAAATTGCCTTAAAGACACATGCAGTGAAATGCTCATCTGAGGGATATCGTAGTTATCTACTAGATGTGGGTTAACTATATATTTGAGTGTTAGAACTACAGCACCCATCCTGTACTAGGGAGTGATAAAGGATTGTAAGTCATAAATACTGAGTAAAAAATAAAATAAGAAGGAAATCATTCCTGAACAGTTGCAAACTATTCTTTCTAGAATCAAATCACCTTTTCCTAGATTTATTATGGAATTTTTAGTAGATACTTGTTTTTCCTTTCTGCCCTAGTGTTTTAATTATGTACTTAGTTAATGTAGGAATCACATCTTTTTGTATGACAGATGTTTACAATGGGCATAAAAAATTAATTCATAAAACAGTGTGATAAAACTCTGAATCCATTTTAGCAGTTTGAGAAACAGGTTTGGTGTGTATGCTAACCAGTTTGACAGGAAGGTTATTTTTAATTTTTTGTACAACACTAGTCAACACCTTTCTTTCAACATGAAGTAATTTGGAATACCAATTTTCACTTGTGTATTAAAAATGCAGATCAGTTGTCTCGCTTTTCCTTTCGTGTGTGGGTGAGAGAGACATCACCTATCAGAAACCACATTAAAAAATGTGAAAGGTGAGCTATAAAGAGACCTTAAAATTGCTCTGTGGAATTTTCACTCTGTGTCACATAGAAAGCTCCTTAAAAGAACTTGTTACATTTATTTTATCTTGTGTGAGAACTCAGAGCTTTACAACTTTGCTAGCAATCCTCTGGACATAATGAAAGTTGTGGGTTTGAAGTTCTGATTATATAAATTACATTGCTTCCACCATCCATTTTCATTTGGTCATTCCCAGGGTGAATGTCTTAAACTAAGCTCACCAGCCAAAGCTTGTATGAGAGGAAGCTTGAATTTTTTAAAAAGTTAGAACCTAACAAAAACATACACGTTTGGCATTAGATGAAGTTTATTTAAGAGATTTATTATTCAGCTGCTTCTTGCAAGGTACTTATTTTGCAGTTCTATATTTCTCACTGCATTTCCATTCTTCCTTTTTTTTGTTGTTCAATTGTTAAGTCATGTCCAACTCTTCGTGACCCCATGAACCATGTCACGCCAGGCCTTCCTGTCCTTCACTACCTCCCGGAGTTTGCTCAGTTCCACACTCATTGCTTTGGTGATGCTATCTAGCCATCTCATCCTCTGCCGTCCCCTTCTCCTTTTGCCTTCCATCTTTCCCAGCATCAGGGTCTTTTCCAAAGAGTCCTCTCTTCACATTAGGTGGCCAAAGTATCTGAACTTGAGCTTCAGTATCAATCTGAATTCATTTTCTATTTTTTCTTATGCAGTTCTCTGATCTCTTACCAAGCAATCCGAATCTCTTCTTAGATCAATCTGATTGGCATTTGCACACCTAACTTGGATTCACCT